GACTGTTGCTATGATACAGGTCTAGATATAGACACTGATATAGGTATAGACATTGATATAGATATAGATACATTGTATTTTGTGTATTGATCTTGGCCTTCTAAACTCTTATTCTAATAATACTTTGGGAGGTGTTTCTCATGTTTTTCTTAGATCACCATTCATCTGCAAATACTGTTTTACTTCTTTTCTATCTTGATGACTTTTATTTGTTATTTTGACTTATATTTGCTAGAAATTCTGGGAAATGTTGAACAGAAATGGTAAGAGTAGACCTTCTGTCTTGTTTCTGTTCTTGGAAGAAAAGTATCCAGCCTTTTACCACTAACAGGAATGTCATCTGGGATAGAATGCTAAATGACAGATTTTTTTTTCTTTCAGTTTTATAAAGATGTTATTCTACTATCCTCTCACATAGAGGTGCTATTTTTCAGTTTGAGGAAGTTCCTGCTTATTTCCAGTTTTCTGAGTTTTCCATAGAAATAGGTGATGGATTTTGTGGTAATCATGTAATAGGTTTTCTTTTATGCTTATTTATATGTTAAATTATGATTGCTTTTCTAATAATAAATCCACATTATGTAATAATCATGATAATGCTTATTTTATATATTATTAAATTCAGTTTGCTGAAGTTCTCTTCTGAGTGTTCACTTTTATGTTCCGTGGTCCCTAGGTATTTTTGTTCTATCTGTTCGGTTCATCTATCAGGGTGATGCTGACCTCACAAAACAAGCTGGGAATCATTCACTCATTTTCAGTACTATAGAAGAGGTTGTGTTACACTGCTGTGATTAATTTTTCAATGAAGACGATAACAATGTGTAATATAACAACCACTGTTAATCCTTATCATTTGGTTTGAAACCCCATATCATTTTTAATGTCCTTGCATTATTTTGTTTGTATTTTGCTATTGTTCTTTTTTTTCACTATTCTCTTTAAAATTTAAAAAAAAAAAAGCTACTTAGGCCTACAGTTGTCTTTATAAGAAGGTTTTTAACTATATGTTCAACTTCTTTAGTAGACAAAGGGCTGTTCAGGTTGTTTCTTCTTGAGTATGCTTTGATAGTTTATGTCCTTTAAGAAATTTGTGCATATTAAATTTTTTAAATGGTTGACCCAAGAGTGTTCATAAAACCCCTTTATTCTCTTAATATCTATAGATTCCGTAGTGATTGTCACTTACTCCTCTCTTTCCTGATATTGGGAACTTGTATTTTCTACCTTTTCCTGTTACATATGGTACAGATTATTCAATCTAACTGATTCTCTCAAAGAACTAATTCCTGGTTCATTAATTATTTCTAGTTTTTTCTAGTTTTTTATTCCTTTGACTTCTGCTCTGATCTGTAGCATTCTTTTCTTCTTACTTGGGGCTTTATTTGCCTTTCTTTTGCTACCTTTCTAAAGTGAAAAATGAAGTCATTGATGTGAGAGTTTTTTCTTTCCTAACATAAACATTGAATGCAATAAACTTAACACTAAGTACTATTTAAAGGCATTGCACAATATTTGATATGTCGCATTCACATTTTCATACAGAGGAAATGATTTTCTAATTTTCCTTTTGATTTATTTGTGACCAGTGGAACACTTGAAGTAAGTTGTTTCTAAATATCTGCCGCTTTGCCAGATAGCTCTCTGTCATTCTTTTCTATTTAATTGCATTTTAGTCAGAAAATGTGCTCTGTCTTGACCTGAATACTTTTTAAATTTTTGAGTATATGTTTTTATGGACTGGAATATGGTCTTTGGTAAAAGTATTACTTAAAAATTATGTATATTCTGTTGTTGTTGGGTGGAGTTTTCCCTGAATGCCAATTAGGTCAAGGGGTTGAAAGTGCTGTTTCAGTGTTCTATGTTGTTAGTGAATGTCTGCTTCTCTAAAAAGAGGTGTTCAAACCCATGACTCACATTGTGGATTTTTAAATTTATCTTTATAGTCCCATTGGTTTTGTTTGTGAAATTTGAAGCTCATAGGCACTTAGCATCATTATGTCCCTAGATGAAGCAGTCCCTTTTCATTATGAAATGACCTTCATTTCTGATAATTTTCTTTATTCTGAAATCTACTTTACTATTAATATTGCCTCTCTGACTTTCTTTTGATTAGTGTTGGCATAGTGTATATTTTTCATTCATTTGCCTTAACCTGTTTGTGACTGTATAAAGTATATTTCCTGTAGATGATACAACCAATCTTATAATTTCTGCTTTTAATTGGGATGTTTGGATCATTGACAGTTACTGTATTTAACAGCACAGCCAGGCTGATGTCTATTGTCATGCTATTTGTTTTCTACTCATTCTTTCTCTTCTTTCTTCTCATTTCCCTTCTTTTTTGTCTCCTTCATTTGGATTCACTGAATATTTTTGTTACTCTATTTTATCTCTTTTGTTGGTTTACCAGTCATAAGTCTTAGTTGTTATTTAGTAGTTTATTTAGTGTTTATACTATGCATTTATTGAGATGTTCCTTCAAATGTCACTATGTGTTCCAGACACCTCTGTATTATTATTTTGTTTAATAGTGAAGTGTTACTTAAAAATATTTTTAAACCAGAAAGGAAAAAACATTTAACTTGTGATCACCTCTTCCTGCGTTCTCCATTTCTTTGTGACAACCTATATTTCCATCTGGTATCATTTCCTCTTGACTTCCGTATGCTACTGATGAATTCTTTCCACTTCTGTGTATCTGGAACAGTCTTTATCTCACCTTGTTAGTGAACAACATTTTTTTATGGGATAGAATGCTAAATGACAGATTTTTTTTCTTTCAGTTTTATAAAGATGTTATTCTACTATCCTCTCACATTGTTTTTAACAAGAAATCTGCTAGAATTAGTGTTCATTATTCTGTGTATACTATGACCCCTCCCTTGGCTGGTTTAAGATATACTTTTTAAAAGTTTTAAAACTTATTTTTACTTTTGAGCAATTTGATTACAATGAGTATTGGTGTAGTTTTTCTCAGGCACCATGTGGTTGATATTTGTTTATTTGTTTGTTTTTGATACTGGAGATTGCTATAGCCCCTGATATATATATATATATATATATATATATATATATATATATAATATTTTTTTTCTGAGACACATTCTTGCTAAGTCACTAAGTTACCCTGGCTAGTCTTGAACCTGTGATCCTCTTACTTGAAGCCTCCCAAAACACTAGGATTCAAGTGTATACCACACTAACTTGGGCTTGGATTTTTTTTTTTTTTTTTGGACCTTTGGATTTATAAATTTCTCATGATATTAAAAAGGTTTATTTTTTCAATTTTTTTCCTGTTCGATATTCTTCTTCTCCTTTGAGGACTCCAGTTCAGGATATATTAAGCCTCTACAATCTCACAGCTCTCTTTCTTTAAAAAACAAACAAACAGACAAACAAAAAACCCACTTTTTTCCTTTGTGTTATATTTTGATTTTTTTTTCACTATGTCTTTAAATCCCCTGATCCTTTCTTCTTCAAACTCCACACTGCCCTGCTGGATGCCAGCTCCTCCAGGAGAGGATTCCCAGACCCTTAGGTTGGGTTGGGTCACCTGACCTAAATATCCCCACAACTTCCTGTAGCTCATCATTTTTATTCTTTCTATCTAATTATAATTATTTTTAAAAATCCATGTCCTTCGTTAAATTGTGTGTTCCCAGGAAGGCAGGGCATACTATCTCCTTTTCTTTGCTTTATTCTCTTTGTAGCAGCAGGGCCACCACATGTACTTAGCAAACCTGTGCTAAGTGAATAAATCAATGCATCAATACACTTTACCTTCATGGGATGATAAAATGGGATCTTCTGGATTGACTGATCCCTGAGATACTCAGATTTTCTTTTTATCTTGGTAGTTTCCAAATGCAAACACACTATCAACTTAAACTGAGAGGAAATTATCATTCCTACGGCAAGGAGAGGAGGCAACTTCCCCAGTAAGAGTGATTTTCTGAGACTGCCACCACCATAGAATAAACTTTGTTTCCCCTGAAGGGCAAAGGACACAATGTTCACACCAGTCAGACCTAGGAGGGGACTTTAGAAATGAATGATCACAGGTCTGCTACAAACCAAGAGGAAGCGAAGACGAAACCTGCTGGGGTCACTGGCCTACTTCTTTAGCCACAGGCCTTGACCCCCACACAAAGCTCCTGACTCTCTATCCCATGCTATCCCCATGCACTGATTTCCACACAGCCCCCCATCTCCCCACAGAACCTGTGAAAGGAGAGCCCCACAGATAAATTTTGACTGCAGTGGTATCACTGACTAGCTGGACTTGTTTTTCTGCAAAGAAAAACTCTATAAGGTCACATTTTCCATGCAGGACAGTATTTCCTAATACACACATGTAACTGGAACTCTAAAACATCCCAGTGTCTATTATTAATAATGGTGAGGCCCATGGGCAAATATTTATGTATACAACCACTTGCAGGTACAAGCGAACCTCCCCCCAAAAAAGATACCAATGCACTTTATGGTATATACAGATAGATATGTCTTGAACTCTTTTAAATTAAGTATCCAAGTTTTCACCCATATCTAAAGGAAAAGTGTTTTAATCCAGTATGGTTTCCAGCCATGATTTCATCCTGGGATTGCTTTTGCTAGCCAACTCCTCTTTAGATAAAGTATAATTTTTCCCTTCTTATCACAGCCTACTAAACAATTCTTTTTAAAATATAAAGTCCTGGAATTTAATAAACAGATCAAATGATACAGGGACTCTCCTTCGTCTTCTTTCTGTTCCTTTGCCTTCTTTGAGGTCTTCTTGTTCCTCCAATTTTGAATGAAGGTGTTATGTAGAGCACCAGTCCAATAAAGGTCATCACAAAACAAAATAAAAAAGATAAGTTTATTTCCTGTTTATATGTGTATAGTTAGTCTGTGAACACAGTGAGATTACAAAGATCCTTATTGCTGGGGAGCAGTTAGGTGATACAGTCAACACCCTGACCATGAACTTCCTTTTCCCAACAGATAAATCATGGTGCTGGGGAAACTCATCTATCTGAAGAGACATCATTCCATCTGCTGTTTCATAACCAGGAAGGCTCTGAGCCTCAGCACAACACAAGGTCAGGAGCTGTCACACTGAGGATCATGTACAACCTACATCAGCAAAGGTGGAAAGGAGCATGGTCTCTAATCTTTCCATGGAATTCTTAAGTTGGTTAAACCTGTCTGATGATGATTTTGCCCATTGTACTGACATACTAACTAAAGAATGGCTTTTGTTTTGACAGCATGTTCAGGTTTTGAAGGGAAATGCAGAGAAGAGTAAGGAAGATGGGCCCAACCTTCTTCCCAGGCTTTCGTGGAATCAACCCTGGAATCACTGAGATGACAGATGTTGGAGACAGATGCCCACATATCCACTCGGTAGCCAGGCTTAATGAGTGAACACAGAACAGCAATTAGAGAATTCATTAATTATACTCCAGGTTCACGTCCATTGTTAACGCTAATCCTTTATTTGGCTAATGACTTCAGCTTTTCTTATAATAATTTGGGCTTATCAGTGAATGATAACATCTTCAAATTTCCATAATTGTGTAAAACTCACACTCTGTACGGAACTCTTTCTTGTTCTAAAAAGGACTTAAAGTAACTTCTAAGGGTACATAAAATGCTTCACGAAAATACAAATTAGAGGGAAAAACAAACAATAAAAAGCAAGAATGAAGCAAGGAATGAGGCTAATATAAAACTATAAACTACAAAGTCTTATGTGCTTAAGATTCTATATGATAAGCTGGAATAGTTCTGAGAGCTCAGCCAAGATTTTCATCCACGAAAAACGCAGGCATTTCTTAAATCATAGTTAAACATTCAAAACCATGGGTCTATTCTAATTCAATAGTTTGTTCCTTGTCTTTCTTTTTTTTTGCACAATAATACTATAGCCCACTGTGTCCTATATTTTTAATAGTTTGATACAGATATAAAAACAGAAATTCCTTCAGGAAATAAAACGAAGAAAACTGCATTTGGGGCCACTCTGAATTCTCAGGCCAGCTTCTGAGAGGAGGGTAATGAGATTCTGCACCAGTAGCCTTTCAGGTGGTTGGTCTTGCTCTTAAACTAATTCATGTGCACTCCTTTGCACACTCTCTTGCCCTCCGCCTTGAGCAATCCCCATTCTGACACAAGAGCCTCCTTTCTAGGCACGGAAACTGTTTCAAGATGTTTCCAGCTGGGAAATGGCCACCTGTATCCATTCTAGTTGGGACTCTAAGTTATCCTACTGCTCAAGTCTTGTTGAGGAAAGTTCAAAAGGTGCTCCTCTGAATCATTCATGCTTTTGCTATCCTTGACCTAAAGCAATCTGGTGGATTTAGGGTACAGGGGTGTCAAGCTCTTACCTGAAAAAAATTTAAATTTATATGCTCCAATATTCCAATAGTGTATGGATTTTTACTGTATTCTAATGCTGTACTTTATACTGCATACATGTTAACTTCTAACATGAAGTATTATAAAGCAAATATAATTTACTGATAATCTACTCTTTATTATTTTGATCAAAACAGAAACCCAGATGCTAAGATATAATTTCACATAAATGTGTAGCATTATCTTGTACATGAACTCATATTTGTTTGTGTATATAAGCTAAGGTAGCAAATAATGCAGTTTAATTTGTTCTCAGTTGGTTTAAAATGCCTATGCTAGAAAACAATTACAGTAGCAGACTTTTATCTGCGTTATATTAATATGGAAACCTTCTTTGTGATTTCAAGACCAGGAAATGCATCTACATCTGCAGGGTAAGAAATATGCAAATTGACATCAAAATCAAACTGAAAAAACATATAGTGTGGGTTATTTCACCTTTGCAAGCTGGGAACTATTAAGTAATGGCTGCCTCCTCTGGCTCTCCACCCCATTCAGTGAAACATTCTGAACACAGCCCATGTTTTTGAGAAGAATGTGCTCCGCTGCCCCTTGAAAACCCCGTTTCATTTAGTTAGTTAATGATGGACCATTTTGACTGGAACATCCAATCCCCTTTCATCAATCATGCCTTTCTGGACTGTCGGTTTTACAGCAATGATTATAAAGCCTTTTCCTACCCATACTTGTGAAGAAAGACTCAGACCACTGCTCTACTTATGATTTTCTAGGGACTTGTGTCTTCTACTTCCTTCCACATGAACAGATCAAGTTAAAGAATAGGAAAAACCCTACTAGAAAGAGGAAGTTGGTGACTCAAGTGTTAATCTAGAAAGTCTTGTTATTTGGTGCTGGAAAAGGACATTGTAAGAAGATGGCTCTTTATATAATGCAAACCTGAGGAATACAAAACACTGTCAACCATGAAAATAAGATTTAATTTGGAATCACAACACACAGGATTTTTTCCCACTTTAAATTCTTCTTATTCAATCGTATTTGTTATAAATATTCAATAGAAATGCAGTTTTCCAAGGCTGCAATGGTCTTTAATAAAGCAAGCCATGTGTGGCTTTTCAGCCAAGCATTTTCATGCTTGGTTAACTGTCAGGATGTTCATGTTCCTTTCCTCAAAATTATTATTTGTGATTCTGCTTAGGTCTCTGAAAAGCAACTTATTCTCTGGCGACTTGAGGAATCATCTTCACGTCACAATTCCATCAACATCAAATGCACAAAGCATTTCAGACGTGATTTAAGGAGAAGGCGGACCTTCCTTTGGACATGGCCAAGCAGCCATACAACATTACAATTAATTCAGCCTGGTGCAAGTGCTTGTCTGCAAGTCGGAAGGGCTGAGTTCAGCTGCAATTCTGCTACTTGCTACTGAACTTGCTGCTTAGCTTTGGGCAAGTTATTTTCCCACAACAGACCTAGGGAGTCTGATCTTTAAACTACAGAATTTGGATTCATTGGAGGATCATTAAAGTATTGGCAGTGGGCCAAATCCACTCTGCTTTTGTAAATAAAGCTTTATTGAAACATAACCATGTCCACTAGCTTACTACTGTCTATGACTTTAAATGCATAAGGAGAAGCTGTGACAGATGACTTGGCTTGTAAAACCTAAAATATTTACTATCTGCCCCATTGATAGAATAAACATACGTCTTTACTTGCTGATTTCCTGAGTCCCTTCCAATTCTTTAAATATTCTGTAAAATATCTACTTTTTCATATATTAATAATCTTGATCCCCATCTATAATAGCTCCTATGAGGTAAACTTAAAAAGATATGCAGGATACATTAACCAAGCTTCACTAATAGTGTCATTTTCTTTATTGATTGGATTTAAGTGATATTATCAGCTCATGGAAATATCCAAGGTAAAATTTGGGGCAAGTGTCCCGTGATTTGATTAGCATTGGTAAATAGAGCGTATCTTATTTTCTACTAAGAATGTTGAAGAAGGAAAAAAAAGCATGGCATTGGAGACTTATTGCATTAAGACATCATCTTAACAGATTGTTTAGTTTTGGTAATATAATTTGACATCTAAACATAAGCTGAGAGGGATCTCCCTGAAAACCTTTGATAATATGATTCATTGTCAAATGTTTGTTTTGCCTATCTGGCACTCATTAATTAATTCTTTTTAATATAGCTTGGATTTACTGATTTTGAAAAAGAGAATTATTCTTATTGATGTTGCTAAAATATCCAGGTGGCTTGAATTTCACCAACTAGATAGTTTAATCTAGCACATTTGTGTAGCCCTAATCAAATCTTTACTAACAGATGTGAGAAGCCCAGTACCGGAGCTAATGTTTGTGTCTTTATGATAATCAAATTACCTCAATAAGAAAAATAAATGAACAATAATGATCAAAATTTTTCTCTAAACTTATTTTCCTCTAGAATCTTCTGATAATAAAATGTAAGTTGCAAACTTTTAATTTCAAAAGATATGTTTATTTTTCTCGACTGGTATATGCTGAATTGCTTATAGTCAAGCAATCAACTTGGACTTCTTTTACCAAAAGAGGAAAACCTATAACTAAGCCAAAATTCAAATTTAAGTTTTTTCACCACGTTCATTATAAAGATTGGGATTACCTTTTGTTTGGCCAATAGCACAGAAAATATTTTGCTAGAAAAAAAGTAGTATTTTCTAACAGGTAGGAAATCCCCTTCTCGGGTTGAATGATTATTTTCACAGATGATAAGCTGCTGCTCAATGAGGCCCTGAACTAATGGCACAGCTCGATGGATTGGCTTTATAATAGTTAATCACAGTTTTCACTGAGCTTTTGGTTCCATGTGATGATGCTCGTGGCAGGCCAAATAACTTCTCATCTAAAGGCGATTTGTACAAATAGGGAGTTTAGCTTGTGTACATTCACCAAAAGATTGAAGACGTTTTTGAAAAGCCAAGAGAAGCCATGTCGTAGCAGGCGGGTTCGTGGAAGAACCAGCAGATGAAGGCAGATGCTGTCCAGGGAGGCCCTGGTGCTGCCACAGGGAGGCCGTGGCGCAGCTGCATAGCAGAGCCTGCTGGACGGAGTCTCCGTGCGAATGTGAACACAATGCTCCTCTGTTCCCGTGGCACTGTGCTCTGACCTTGCTGGAGGCGAAGTGGTGTCAGCTGCACTTGGAAGATGGTCAGCTGCGGTGCAAGGACCAGCGCGGCTGCCGGCCGAGCCCCTCACCGCCCTGTGCGCCTGCAGGTGCGGCCACCTGTATTTGTGTATTCTACCCTGTTTATTTATTTGCCTGGCTAATCAGCTCAGGGTCACATTCCCTAGCTAGATGTGTTCTTTCGTGAAGGAAGAGAGAAAAAAAGTCTAAAAAAAGAATGAGGGAGAAAGGAAGAGAAAAAGAAAGAAAGAAGGCAGGGAGGGAAGAAAACAGAGAGGGAGAGAGAAGCCATCTAATTTTCCATAGTTTTGACATTAAATTTTCTTGTTTTAAGAGCTTTTAGAGAAGGATTAGAAATATGACTCAACAAATCACTTAGAAATTCTATGGCTGTATTGTTTTATTGCACTATAAATAAAATCTCCCATGCAATATATGAATAAAATAGCCCTGTGATCCTGTTGTGTTTAGTTTAATACATTCTCTTAACCTAAAATGTGATTCTTTTTTTCTTTCATGAGGAGGCCTACCATTTAGCTTAATTAGAAAAGCTGTGGAAAACTGAATTGAAACTAACTTCTATCCTGTTTCATTAAAACAAAGTACATTTGCCTGTTAGTTCATTCGAATTCTTAAAAACCCATGGATTAGACACCTAATGAACCAGCCCCTATCCTAATGCTTGACTTTTCCTATGTGACTAAAGATGTGGGAAGGTCTTGCACGTCCTCTTGACCGGAAGAGGAAATGAGGTTGCCACCAAACATACTGCTGGTAGGATTTCACTTACTTGAGAGTCTGTGCATAGCTTTCCACCTGTGCAAAGAGCACAAGCACTCAGACACATCTTTACTTGTATCCCAAAATACATTTTAGACATGATCATGTGTTTTTTGTTTGTTTTTGTTTTTGTAGTTTTTTTTCCGGTACCGGGAATCGAACTCACGACCTTGCGCTTGCCAGGTAGGAGCTTTGCCACTGAGCTAAATCCCCAGCCCCTTTTAAGTTTGTCTTTTTTTGTTTGTTTTTGTTTTTGTAGTTTTTTTTCCAGTACCGGGAATCGAACAGACATGATCATGTGACTCACATGGAGTCACGAAGTGTGTTATGAGGTCTGGTATAAAAATTTAAATATTCTTCCAATCTGAACAATTTGGCAGAGCTAATTATTTTAAAATACCTAAACAAATTCTTTGTACAAGAATAGGAGTGTCTGGTTCACAGAAGTGTCGATCTACAGGGCAAAGCAAGACATCAAGAAGATGATATGAAGTAGCAAAATACTGCAAGTCCAAATTGTGGGACAAGTGGGGAAAACAAAGCAACGTTGGCAGGTAAGATAACAGAGCTATATCCGTGCTAAGTTCCTGATTTTGATGGTTGTACTGAGGATATGTAAGATGATGTCCTTATATAGGGGAATAAACATTGAATTATTTAGGTCTAAAGAAGAATTACATCTACTACTTATTATTGGCTCAGGGGAAAAAAATCTCTGTCTGAAAGAATGATAAAACAACTGGGGTGAAATATGAATTTTTTGGCAATATGGATGGAGGATATTTGGAAACTCTTTGTCCTATTTCTGCAATTTTTCCAAATGTCTGAAGTTATTTCAAAATTAAAAATGTAATTTAAAAAAAGAACTTTAAAATAAGTGAACTTCTGGCCTGGACTTCTGATTCCAGAGGGCATGGTGCCAGAGATGTCAATAAAATGCTGGAGCATTCTGAGCATGGGAAGCTTGTTTCCATGCACTTGGAGCTTGGTTTCTTAAAGCCAAAATGATCGTAGATTACTGATGGCTAAAATATGAATTATGTTCCAGTAATGTATTTGACTGCTCATTGGAAAATGTCTGCTTCATACAACAATGGGTACCAACATAAAAAGGAAAATCATACTACTTTCAGGTTAGATCTTCCAAGTGCAATAATGTGAATCTATTTTTACATTGTTTTCCTTACAGATACTGTCTTTGTGTGCTGAATTTTCAATTATCAATACCAAATAGTAAAATGTTCCAATAAATGCAGAAGGTCAACATTTCATTTCATTCATGAAGATTAATATTTGATATCCAAAGGGAGGAAACATAAACATGGAACGTAACATCAGAAGTACACTAAGGATATAGAAGAACCATAGCATTTCAGAGCAAGTCAGAAGGTGAGTCTGGGGAAGGTAACAGTGCATCTATATTTCAATTCTTAATATATTAAGTACTTAATGCTTTTTAAGGTTGCCCTGTATGTTTGATTTAGGATTTTTATTCATTCTAATTTTTAAAAAAGAATGGAGATGATTTAAACATCAAAAGTCCCTTCTGATTTGGAGCATAAAGCACTCAGTGTTTACAGACTAGGAAAAGCCCTAGTCAGTGGGCTCAAAACCAGTTCCAATCATGTATCTGTGAAATATGAAGAATCATCAAAGTGCTGCCTTCTCTGGTCCTCAGTCTCCTCATCTATAAAATGAGGAGGTTAGCATACGCAACATTTCTGGCACCTGTGACTATTACAATCTCTGACCCAAAACACTGTATGAGCTCACTTTGGTGGACAGAGGACATAGCTTTTCAGGGCAGCATTCTGACTCCTCTGCAAGGAACTATACTTCATTGAAAACTTTAAACTACCTATGAGCTCAAACTCAGAAACCTGAGTTAGATGGACAGAGTTGTTTTCATGATATTTTTCTTTTTAATAAGAAAAATTGACATGCAAGCAAATCTTACGTGTATTCTTTTTAGGCTGGGTGTTTGAATTAACTAAAAGCAGTTCATTTACCTACTATAGACTTTTCTAGATATCTACTTATAAAATATCTACATTAAAGAAAGTGTTCTTATCCTGGAAACACTTTTAGGGAGTTTAGTGGCTCCATCTTTTTCCTTACTTCCAAGAACAATTTAACTGAATCTGGAGAAGTCATCAGAATGTCAATATATTTTGCATCCTACTTCATATATTTTTCTATCCATACTGTTATTTCCTTAACATTTTTCTTCAAATTAATCTTTTGTAACCTTAAATGTCTACACAACCTCTCATACACTGGTGGTGTGCATATCACCCTCTAGCACAGTATGCCCTAAGGGGTTAGTAATGGCAGAATTTCTAGTTTGCCAGGTGCTTGTATTAACTCATTTAATTCCTATAACAACTCCCAATTTTGCAAGTGAGAGAAAAGGAGACTTAAAGTGGCTAAATTATCTACTATAATTAGAGTTAATTAGTGATTAACTGGAACTCCATTTCAAATCTAACTCCACATCCCATGCTGTCCTTACTGCACCAACCAAATTATAGATTCTAAAGC